AGTCCCTGCGCAGCACAGTCAACACTCTCAGCCATGGCTGGCCCAAAGGTTGGGAGTTTGCGTCCACCCAGGGGTGCCTCTGAAGAGAAGCCTGGTAGTGTAGTTCTGGGCTGGGGGTGGGGCAGATGCTCATTGCAAACCCAGGGAGCAAGTTCTGTTCCCACACAGCCAGGGCCGCTCCACCCGGGAGTCAGCTCCAGGCCCTAGGACCAGTCTGGAATATTCATTCCAGGCCAAATGGGCCACTCGGTCCACGTTCAGAGCCCAACTCTGTAGAAACACAGCCCATAGAGGTGACACCACAGGAAGGAGGTCACAAAGCATGACCGAGGAGGACCCTTCCACTCAGGGTGACCTCCTCCTGGGGGAGGCGAGGTTCAGCTTCCAAAAACCCAAGCTCATCACTGAGTTGTTTCTGACTAAGGGCAACCTCCCGGGACAGGGTGGAACCGCCCCTGAGGGTTTCTGAGTCTGTGACTCTTTACTGGAGTGGAAAGTCTCGTCTTTCTTCCTCAGAGTGGTTTCGAACTGCGGACCTTATGGTTAGCAGCCCAATACACAACCACTAGGTCACCAGCTTGAGCCTTGAAAACTGGCCAGTTGGGGAGAGACCTGCCCTCAGCCACCTGTCAGCAGCCAGGGATGGTCTTCCATGCATCTCTTGGTCTGCACGCATGCTTGGCACAACCACAGAGTTCCTGATCTAAGGTCAGTCCCCCGAGATGTCTGCCGAAGGGCAGGTGTGGGTGTGGGGCCCTGAGCCAGCGAGCCTGCATCAGCTGGGCATTGCTGACTGGGACTCTTGCTTGAACATGGGGCGGCTGTCTGTGACTGAGCTCTGTACACAGGGAGGAGCTGTCTGCACGCGTCAGCCCTGCAGATAACGGGACTGGGTGCACAGGGGCGCAGAGAGGGCAACGTGTGTTCTAATCGAGCAGGAAGTGACTGTTCAAGGGGGACCAGAGTGGCCTTCTCTTGATTTTTCCAGCAACACCAAGGCTCCTCTGTGTCCTGGACACTGCCTTCCATAGAGAGTTCGACGTTGATCAGCTTCAACATAGAAAACTCTCCCTCACAAACTCATTCATAGTGATCCTGTAGGACAGGGTGGAACTGCCCCCTCTGGTTTCCAAGTCTGCCACTCTCTATGGGAGTAGAAAGCCTCCTCTTTATCCCTCAGAGTGGCTGGCAGTTTTGAACTGCCAACCTCAGGGCTAGTGGCCCAGTGTGTAACCACTACACTACCAGGGAAAAATCGGGAAGCATTAGATCCTATTAAAAAGCCTCGCACCAGAATGGAACGTATACTCTAAGTACTTTCAGAGAGGGACTTCCTTCTCTCAGCAAGTTGGTGGGGTGAGCAGGCACCCACGACTCTCCCCCTTTACAGAGGGAAACGGAGGGGCAGAGCTTTTGAATGACTTGCCCCCCATCACCAGCCCCAAAGTGGCACAGCTGGGATGTGACCTCAGAGTCCAGCTGTGTGGCTTGTGCCACAATGGATGCCACGCTGCTTCTCTCTGGAACCTTCCATTGGGCCTCTCTCAGAGTAAAGCACCAGCCCTTCCCTTGTCCCCAGTCCTCAACTTCAGCCCCTCCCTTCTGGGACTCCTTCACCAGTGAGTCTTCCTGCAAGTACCTCTCAGGGTCCATAGCTGCCTCCCCGAGTCTCTCCATTCACCATAGGCCTCATCTACCACCAAACAGCTCGTTTGTGACTCTGTGGGTCTCCCCCCACCCCTGTCAAGTGGTTGGCTTTGGTCTCAGAAGCACCAGGAAATGGTCCCCTCCTCCTCTGAGGGAGGTGAGGGGGGGGGGCAGTGGGTGACCTGGGTGACCTCTTGCAGGGATTGGGGGGCTGCCCTGGGACCCAGTTGTGCGTGCCTTCCGCCCTGAAAGGGTCCTGGGGATTGCAGTTGCCCTGCTGTCTGCCGCCAGTGCTGTTCCCGCCTCCCCTTGGCCCTGCAGCTCCCCCACAGCCTGGGCCTCTGGGGGTGCCGCCTCTTCTCGAGGCGCCCACCACCTTCATTGAAATTTTGCCCTTGCCCAGGAATCCTCGGTTGAGAGCTCATCCCTATTAATTCTCATTGTGCATTTAGAGCCAATAGGTTTTTATTTATTCATTTATCTTGTCTTCCTTCCGGTTGGCATTTACAATTCCGTTCTCAGGTGGCCTTGTGGAAGGACAAGGCAGGCTGGCTTGGGGCGAGAGGATGTCACACCCCTGCCCTGAGGCCCTCTGGGGCTCAGGCGCTGGATTGGCTCTGGGGACAGACACAACACCTGTCTTGGGACTTGCCTGGGGAAGGGCCGGCCTAGGGGGTCAAGAGAGTAGGGACCAGGGCAGGGTGATTGCAGTGGGGGAGAGGGGTGTGTGGGTAGGTGTCTGGCCGCCCTTGGGGTGCCCCCTGGTGGCCAGTAAATCTTCTGGCGGGATGTGGCTGGAGGCGGTGAAGCTTCCAGCAGCCCAGAGACTAGAACCTCAGGGCCCGGTGTCCTAAAGGCGCAGGAGGGAGCGCTCTGGGAAGAAGACCACTGAGCGGGTCAGAATGATTATGTGGGTGAACAACAACTGCCCCGGCCAGGGCCAGGACACGTGAGATGGCGCTGCAACCTCCGTCCCATCAGCACCAGCACCCTCAGCCACCCGCATCTCTGCTTCCCTGGGAACGAGACCCAGAAGACGACTCAGGGATGTCCGAAGCTCAGAGGACCAGCTCTGCAGCCTGGGGGGTACTCTCTGGCCCCTGCCACAGACCAGTTCCCTGCCTGTCTCTGCTCCGTCTACAAGTGAGTGACCTAACCAGGGCTTCGCCACCCTTCTCTGACCCCTAAAATGGGATTAACCTGGGGCCCGCCACAGAGCGCTGTAAGATGATTTCCTGAGCGCACTCAGAGGTCCACTCACTCGGGGAAGCCTCAGTACATGGGCACCAGGGTTTGAATCCATCCGGAGGGGACCCCATTCCCACCCCCTGTAGAAGAAGGCTGTTCTCCACCTGCAGGGGCAGCATGCCCCTTCTCGTGGGCTGCACACTGGTCATGCGAGGCAGGGCTATATGGAAGTCCACCAAGCAGGTGGCGAGACGCTGAGCACCTACCTAACCCAAGAGCTTGGAGATTCGATTCTCCCTCCCCTGTCCTCCTCGCCAGTCTCCCTTGTTCTCTACGGACACCTGCCTAGATGGAGCTTCAGAGCCAAGGGCATGCTCAGCAGGCTCTAGCCAGAAAGCCTCAAACCTGCATTGGAGGGAAGTGTCCGTCTGTCAAGCCCTTGATGGGAAGCTGGCCTGGTGGATTTTAGTGAATTCTGATTTAGCTGCCCCACTTTCCCCAGCCCCCCACCCTCCACCACCGCCCCCTCCTGCCCAAACACCAGAAAAGGCAGAGCAAAAATACAGTCAATACTTTTCAATCTGAGAAGCAGAAGTTGACTGTCCCTGGGAGGGTGAGGGGCGGCCTGCTGGCCGGAGATGCAGACCAGGGCTGGGCTCCCACCCTAGCTTGCCCCTGACTTTCAGGGTTCCATCCCCTTGCTCATCTGGGAAAGAGAAACCTAGCGATCCCAGAGCAGAAATCCCCACCGACAATTCAGTCCCTGGGCTCCCTCCTTCCTTCCCTCTGACACCTTCCTTTTCTCCCCAGGTGGCTCCCTGGCAGCCCAGCCAACAGCCCCAGTGACAGCCTTATCTCTGCTGATAAATCCAGCTGTCACACCTAGCTGAAGCTGCCCCGTGGGAGAGAAGCATCCTCTGGCAAGTGGGATGAGAGGGCTGCATCTGCCGCACCATCGCCCAGGAGCCCCGGAGGCTTCCCCCGGGACAGGGCAGAGTGCCATGGTCCACTCCTGTCCCATCAGCCCTTGCAGCCTGGCAGGAAGCCAGGCAGGGAACCCAGAGGGAGAGTAATGATCAGCAGCAGAGGGGTCCTCTGAAGCAGTTGAGCTTAGTGACCTTGAACCAGACACCCTCTGCTTGACACACAGCATCACCACTTCTGAGTGTATGACCTTAGGCAAGTGTCTTCCTGGCTAAGGACACCAGCCAACATCTTCGAGGCAAACCACCCTATCCTGGGCGCTATGAATGTGCACTACTAGTGTCCTCATTTTCCAAATGAGACGACAGAAGCCTAGCTAGACATGCCACTGGGCCAGACCCCACACGCTAGAACTCCAGCTTTTGGCAACACAACATCTACCTGGCTGGGCTGAGGCAGGACTGGATGGAATGGCCTGTATCAAACTCGTAGCTCTGACTCCTGGCGCTCAGACTACATGATGCCTATTGTTAGTGTGCTGCCGTGCCTGTGAAGCAACTGTAGGACTCTAAAACTCCATCTTTGTCTAACTTGGGGACTCAAGTGACAAGCCTGCCTCTTCCCTGACTTATCCGGTGATACTTGAGGGAGGACCTAGGGATGGAACGGGAAAAGGCCCCGCCTCACTGCCCATTCTGGCCTGTCCCTCACTTTCCCCTTCACGATGACCCCTGTGCTTCCATCAACTGTCCTCCGCAGCGCGCATGCCCAGTGCCTGTTGCCCCTTGGCTTTGCGGCCCCCCCGCAGTCGGTTGGGCTGGATTGGGTGGGGGAGGAGGCTGTGCCACAGAATGGACCCACAGAGAGAGGTGGGAGTGCAGCGCTGCCTCTCCCTCACTTGTCCACTACCACTCCCTTCCTGCAAAGGAGGGCGAAGCTTATCTGCAAGGCTGGAGCAATGCGATTACCAGCTGAACTGATGATCAGCTTACTGAGAATGTCCCCACCCAGAGAATAATGTCACCTGACCCCAGAGTTCTTTGGGGTGGCTTTGACATGGGCACAATCCCAAGCTGGGGGCCGAAACCCAGTCCCAATCCAAGCCACAGCTTTGCATCTCGCCCCTCCCATTCTGTTCACGCCCCTCCCATTCTGTTCACACATCCATCCCAAGGGTCTGTCTGGCCTCCCTGGGCCCGGGCCTGGGTCTGGGCCCCTAGAAGTGCAGTGGGCTGACTTACATGGGAGCAGAACCTCTCAGGGGGGTCTCCGCATGTGATGCCTGAGGGCTCGACCTTCACCTTGACGTAGTCCTTCAGGCGCATCACCTTGGGCTGGCAGGCGTAGAACTCCCAGGTGGGGCCCTCGTCCGTGGTCACCCAGGATTTGCAGATGTCATAGTTCCCAGAGGCCAGTGGGAGGCAGCGCAGGAAGAGTGCCAGCAGGTGCAGCATGGCTGCGGAGTCCTCTGGGGAGTGGCCCCGAGAGGCCCTGGAGAGGCAGTGACCCGGTCAGGTGGGACTTGCAACCTCAGCATGGAAATGCCACATTTACTGAGCAACGGTGGCCGGGGTGTCCCACGGACTGGAGCACTGGCGGTGTTCAAACAGCGAGGAACTTGCTTTTTCCAAAAGGCTGAGGTGGAAAATTCAGAGCCAGCGTTTCTCAGACTGCTGATGGGCAGATCAAAAAGTTGCCCACGACTTGGTGTCCTGTTAACCTTGGCATTACACCTCTCCCAAGAGGTGCATCTGATCAAAACGGGCAGACTCTCAAATTGTGACAGTGGATGGAAATGGGATAGGGAGACGATCCGCAGGGATCTGGCATGAGGCCGGATCAGATTGCTTTTAATTTTTGTCCTTCCAATCAATCCAGGGCTTCAATGGGCCTTTAAGGTGTGGTATGCGCCACGCAACTGCAGAAGGACCCTCCGGCCTGCGTTGTAAAGATAAGATAAAATCAGGAGGTGGACACGGGAGGAGGAAGCAAGTTTCTCTTTGGGACTGGACAGCGTCTCAGACCAATAAAAGAGGTTTCTTTTCATATGGGTTGGAAGAAACAGCAACCGTGTGGCTGGCCGGAAAAATACGAATGCTCTGGAGGCGTTAACCGGGTGAAGGTCATGTGGCTGGACTCTGGTGAGGAGAGGCACTAATGGGGGCCCGCTGACCTTGGCCCATGGCCATCGGCAACTTATTATGAAGTGTCTGAGGCTTCAGTTCTCAAATCCAACCAGGCTTGTCTTTCATTGTAGGAAGGGAGGGGAGAGAGCTCATTAGCAACAACACCTGCAACAAATTAAAAAAAAAAAAAAAGAGGGAGGGGAGATAAAGACGTATAAGAACAAAAGCTCTCTGGCAAAATGTGCACACAAAAAAATGAGGTTGCATTAGCAAGACCTCCGGAGAAAACTGGGTTATTTTTATTAATATTGGAGTTGCACATTTGGAGATTTAGCATCTTATTAAAAAAGCGATGGGGGTGTGTGTTCTCATCGATGGTGGGGCTAGTGGGCGGGGAAGGGGTCAGCAACCTTGCCCCTGTTCCGGGGTCAGCAGCCTCCTAAAGCAAACATTCCCAGGAGCAAAGACCGAATAGCTGCTTTACACCATGATGGATAAATGAAAAGGTGGAAGCTGTTTTCCATGGAAGTGGGATGTAGACAGAGTGGTCCATTCGGAGGCCAGTGATTAAGAACCGGGTGCAGATAAACATCTCCCCAAACATAGTCACAGCCCGAAATGGAAATTCATTATTTTTTTCCCCAACAGAAGAAATAGGGGAGAGAAAAAGTCTTTCGGAGGAGTGACAAGGTTCTGTGCTATTAGATATTCAGACCAAAGCTAACGTTTGCAACCATTCTTAGAGGCCAGGCATGTGAACTGATCATCCAGGCCAGGAGAACAAACGATTGCCAATGGCAATCAGTTCAAAGTCTAAATAGACATAAGAAACACGATGCTACAGTCAGGACGCATGGCTCTTACTAGCCCTGTTCCAGACACCTGATTCATCACGGGGACAATTCAGGTTCAAGACCAGCATGGGATTCCAGCCCAGCCAGAAACAGCAGCCACAGGGGCAAAGGTTATCTCCTCGAATCACCGCAGATGCACCTCCATGATTAATTATTCTGATTGTTATGCCTAGGATTATTGTATTTACATCGCCAAGACCCTCCCCAGAGTAGGTGGGGATCCTCAGCCTGGCTCTCTCACCTGACACCCACTTCAGCCATTGTAGACTGAAGGTTCCCCCCGCCCCCTTCACCACCTGGTCACAAATATGTTCCTGTCAAAAATGACAAGCCGCCGGGGCACAGGGCGGGCAGGCAGCACCTTTGCTTGGACCCAAGGTCCCCAGCCTCTGCCTCACCCCAACTGGGCCCAGTGGTCACCGGCGCTGGGGCTCATCCGTCTGCATTACTGCGGACCCTTCCCCTCGGTCCAGGGAAGGGCTGATGGAGATGAATGAGCAGCCGGCGGCGGGAACCACAATTTCACAGCCCACCTCTGGCTGTTGAAAAAGAAATCTTTTATTTTTTCTTTGTAGCGCCCGCCCGGCCTGAAACGCACCCTTTTGCTAGAAAACTCGCAGAAAGAACCCGCCTGGCGTCTATTTTTACAGCCTGAGAAAACGTAGTAAAAATAAAATCGCGCGGCCGGCCCAGGTTTGGACGGCTCGAGCCGAGTTCTCGGCTGCGCAGAAAACATCACGTCCCTAAAGAATTCTTGCCACCGCGGACGCCCAACTGTCCTCGAGCAGGTCCGCAG